GTAATAATTGTATTACAATTTTTATGTTTAAATAAAATTAATTAGTAAATTTTAATATTTAACATTAATTCAAAAATTTAATTTTAAATTTGTAATTTGAAATTGTAAAATTTAAAAACTGTTACTAAATATAAAAGTTTGATAAAATATAATTTTAAATAATAATTGGAAAAGACCGAAATCGCTATCAATATAATAATTAGATTTTTATCTTAATAATTTAAAACAAAATAATTGCTGTTAATTTAATAAGTATTTCTCGTTTATTATACCAGATGAACAACCCCCTATTAATGAACAGATACCCGGCCATAGAGTATGCGCACATATTTCCGGATTACGCCGACGGGTGGTATATCAGGTCAGCCAAATTGGACCCAAACCACAGTAAGACAGGTATTTATTTGGACTACAAATACCTGCAGACGTGTTTGGAGGGCAAGAGGGGCACCGAAATGGCGATGTTTTTGCCGTTGAAAGCCGTCGAGAGGACAGTACTCCGGGACCGACCCGAGTATGAAAAGAAACACAAATGTAAAAAGCATTTGTATCGCAAATATTTGTAAATTATGACCAGGGTTATAGAGATTTCTAATGTTATATTATAAATTATTATCATAATATTATTGGAATTCTAAGTGCTTAAAGCTATTTATTAATCCTGTTAATGTACTTACAAATTGTAAGATGTAACATGTCCATTTTAATTTAACTAATAAATTATTATTATTCTAAATATTGGTTAATAATGCTATAGTATGCTGTTAAGAAAAGTTGTTTTATTTTAAAAATTGGTTTGATTTTATTTTATCATGCTGATAACAAATTTTATATTAATCACACAGGAGATTGGTGCTATGTATATTGTTATTATAGATCACTACCAAGATAAAAGATATACGTTAATGAAATAGCATTTAACAATTGAAATTAATATTATAATTGTAATTTTATTTTAAATTTATATTTTATTATATGGAAAATTTAGTTTAAAGTTATATGGGGTATACCTTGCTACTACAATTTTAAAATAAGCTACTATATTACAAATTAAATTTTAATATTAATTATACTTAAGTTTTAAAACAATTACTGCTGATATAAACTTATTTAATTTATTATAAATGTGTCTATAATTATTTATACAAAAAGTTTATAAAATTATTATTGTTAACTCAGCATAATATAATTTTATACTTGAAAATAAAATTCTTTATTTTTCAAGTAAAAATGAAAATGAGTTAAAATTGTTGACAATCAGCCAAAACATACGTTCACTAATGTTTTGAAAGTTAATTATAGAGTTGAGTCAAAAACTTGAAAATATAATACAAAATGTAATAAAATGAGAAACATCTCAACAATTATGTCATTTCTATGGCTATAATATCTCCAAATAAACTAAAAATCTTGAATTCTGACGGTTGAGTGAATACATTCTCACTGAATAACACATAGACTACAGTCTACTATCGATATAATAAACAAAATAATTATCGTATAATAGACTGTAAATTATATCGAAAACTTAAACTAATTATGCTAAGCACAAATAAATAATTAATAAATTGACAATGGCTAATTCATTAATAATTTGTTTAAAATAATAAAAACATACTAGTTAATTTTATACAATACTAGTATAGCATGTGTTTATGATATATACCTAATGATATATAGGCCGAGACACACAAATATTTATACTAGGTCTAAATATAGACACATTTATTATGAAATTTATTTTTCAACACAAATGAAGTTATTTTGTTTATACAAACTGTTTTTCATTATATAAGTATTATATATATTTGCTGTGAAAACCTAATTATCTGTGATTTTGTGAGAGAGAAAGCGAGTGATTATTTTGTGGAGAAAGTTGTATAATGTGTTGAAAATAGGATTTAATACTGATTTGAAAATTATCAGGATTATTATAAACGTAATTCAATAATTCGGGTAAATATTTACTAATGATTTCTTGCATTTATAAAATTATTATATAAATTATATTAATCTAACCATAACTTGTGCACTTTCTTAACATAAAATCTTGTAACTTATTACTTTATATTAAAACCTTACTTTAAAGTTTTTTTTATTCATATTAAAAACTATATTTTGCTTTTTTAAAATGATTAATTAAGTAACTATTTTTAGACCATTTTTTGTGACTACTTTACTATTTTAGTAACATAGTGTATATTTTTAAATGTTATCTTTTAAAATTATATTATAACATAAAACTATAAAACAAAATATTTAGTATTACAACTTTTTTTAAAAAAATACGAATACAATAGATATGCTAATTAAAACGCTAAAAAATAAATTATTTAATGCACTAAGATTTTCCAAGGTTATAATTCTTTTATTTATTTAACAGTCTTAAAAAATTTAATATATAATTACAATTTCAAAATAAAATACAATATAATATTATGCTTAATATCATTCTCGTGTCCAATTATCTAGGTTTAATATTTTATTAAATAATGATAACTAAATTAAAACATAAACTACAGTTTGAACTAAACATTCATCACATTATAACGCAAACCCCTGTAACCCATAGTATGTTCTCTAATGACAGGCAAAAAAATGACACAAATATACCCCACGTACGCCGACCACTGGTACACACGTGCGGCCAAACTGG